TCTCCGTCTGGCTGCACATCACGATTCACACTCCATTCCACTAGTTGGCGGTAATGCCCCTCCGGAAACAAGAAGAAGAAGAAAAACTTCTTCTTCAACAATAAACAACAATCGAAATTTTCTCCGCGCAACTTTTTAAATAACACTGAAGTACAGCAATAATAATCAAGCATAACTTTCTGAATGTGACGGGCGCCGCCATTTTGATTTGCTTGATTCCCTCCTCCTTCGTCTTCTTCTTCGTGTATTTAATGGCGGTTGGCAAACAACCTTTGGTGCATTACCGCCACCAACTGCTTGATTTCCTCCTTCAATACCGACAGTAATACCACAGATCGTCACTAGGAGGCGAGGAGTCGAGGAACCGAGATAGCGTGATGTGTAAACGGTCCTCAGTACCGAGCTCAGCCTGGTTAACTGATCCGAGCTCGGACCGGTCTCGGCATGGATCGGTTTTTCAGTAGTGGAAATGGGGTAATAGTCTGGCATGTGGTAAAGGTTGGCGGGTTATCACTGGTCTACATAGACCTGTCATGGTCACCCGTTTCCCAGGACAGGGGTCGGCTATTTCTCAGAGGGAAGACATCAAGAGGATTACTCAGACATTCATGAATATCTTTCTGATCATAATTTGGATAAAGTAATAGCATTATAACATAATAAATATTATTTTTTTCCTCTTAAACAGGAAACAATTTGGTGGAATCTCTCAAAAAGTGTTTTTCTTCAGTGCGTCTGATAACTGACATACCGTAGAGTAATTAGCATATTGTGTAACGTGATAAATGCCAATGGGTCACACTGCAGGATCTTGCTATCTGTGGATAACCTTTCTGGCTTCTGTAATAAACCCGCTCTCCTTTTTCTTTTACTTTTACTTTTTCACCCCCTTTATATTCTGTTTTCTCCATTCCAGTCCTAATCTGCAGCTTTATTCCATAGCAACCAGTCTCCAATATGCCGTACACTGCCGCGAAAATGGGTAGAAGATGATATGAGAGGGAAGAAAGATTCAGTGATGAGAGAAGTCAAAGGAGAAAGAAAGATAGGAGAGATAAAATGGTGACTTCAGGAGAAGTAGAAAGTGGACAAAGGAGGTGAAAGAGGCTAAGTAGCACCTTTCAGAGAAGAATGCTGCAGATGTAGAGATGGGCGGATGGGAATGGGGAGGGAGATTTGGGATATGCGTGTGTAGAAGACATAAATTATCAAAAAAATAACCTACAATTCTGAATTAAAACTGAATCTCCTTCTGCAACTTCTCCACCTTGTAAAACATCTCGGCGTTTAAATTCCCGCTGGAACATTTGCAGATGCATTTATGTTCCTTATATCAGTGGTTTCCCTCGTTCCAGCAGCAATGCTGCTAATTAGAAACACTTCCTCACATATGAATGATCTGCTGTTGGGGGAGGGGTGATGTTTTGTTTCCACCATATGTTACAGTACATGTTTTGTTGAATATCAGCAGCAATCCTGCTGCCTGTTCAGATGTTTTATCTCTCAGTCCATGATTGATTTTCTTTTGTTGGGTTTTGTTTCTTTTAAATCATAAAATTACTTTAATGAAGTCAATATTAGACAGTCTGCATGTTTGATGCCATGAAGTGGATTATTTAAAAATAGCTTCTTTTACTAAATTTTGTCTTGCAAGCTTTTGCAGCATCAAATTATCTTTTTTTTTTTCCTCAGCACTCTGCCTCTCGCTCAGTTGCCCCTGACAGCCACTTTGAGTTTCTCCTCCTCCTCATCTTTGCTCTGTCATTCATCATCAGAGTCAGACCCTTCCACAGGGCACGCCGTCTGTTTGGGAGTGTGGGTCTTACCATGTTGAAGCAGATTTAGATTAACAGAGCAGCAACAGCAACATGGCTAAAAAGCTTTTTTTTTAAATATTTGCGTGAACGCATGATGAAATTCGTCGGCTAGTTTAAATGCACCAGAACTGGAATGTAAACCTTAAATTAAATGTTTATTGAATTAGACGGAATCAGACATTTTTACATCCGTCACTTTTGGGAGCTAAGATGCAAAAAGGAAACTTCCCGTGTAGCCGAGTAACGCTCAACAAGACGGCTGAGTTTCTAAGTACCTGTTTTATGAATGGGTTCACACTGCAGTAAAATGATTGTGAAGCACAAAACAAATAATCTGGAAGTGTTTCATAAGCAATTTAGTTCTGGAGAGCAGCTGCAAACATCCAGATGGAGCTTGTATAACAGCAGTTTTAACACCACACTTAAGGCAAAGTATTACCGAGGTTCTCTCTAGGTTTTCTTTTCTAGGCTCCTAAGCTCATTCAATGTTATGCATGTCTGCTCAGACCTTTGAGTGAGAAGCTGTGATGAAACGTTGGAAGAAAGGATGCTAAGCATCTTCTCCAAACATACTGATTTGCTCTCTTTAATTACATCCTTTTTATTTCTGTTTATGATACCGTTGTTGGAGATGGATTATTTCTGATAAGAACATAATAGCTTTGATTTTAAAAGAGAATTGATATCTAGCCATTTTTATTCTCACTGTTAACGCCTTGGCTTGTCATGATACTAACTTTTAAAACTCCATATCGATACCCAGAGAAACATTGGATACGGAATGTAAAAAAAGAAAAGCATAGGAAATGTTTTTATTTCAACATGGAACAGGCTTTCTCAACACAATTATTAATGTTAGTTAAATAGATAACCCCTATGTACGGAAGAGGATTAGGGCCAAAATCAGTTTAAAAAGTTAACTGATTTTTAAATTTTATTTCAGTTTAGAATTCTTACTAAATTCTGACAATTAAAAAGTCAGAATTCTGAGAAAAAAGTCAAAATTCTGACTTTTTTCCCATACTAAACTGAAATAAAATTTATGTCAAAATCTTAAAATTGGATTATATTAGCCTGCATCTGAAATCTCTGATATCAGCATGCTGGTAAAACACACATTGCTTCTGTCTGAAGTTTAT